GGTGCGTGTGCGTGTGCGGGTGCGTGTGCGTGTGCAAATTTTTTTTCCCACGAGAATTCCGGACCCCAGCCAATCAGCGCACTCCATTCACTCGACTTCCTCGAAGCAACAATGTAAAATTTATACAATCTAACCGTAACCCTAACCCTAAACCTAACCCGAACTCAAACCCTAACACTAAATATAATCCAACCAGGTTTGTCTTATATACGCACCATATATTACAAAACACTATCTGTGGTGGGTCCGGAACTCTCGTGGGAAAAAAAATTTCGCGGCCAGGCGAGGCATGCGATCGTGATGTTTATAGCGATTTCTCAGCGTGAAAACACATTATGAGTTACGCATATTTAGTGTACCTCGCACTATATTTTTACAAAAAAAAACATCGTATATGTTTGAGCTAACATAATATATAAATTGCATCTTGCAATTAACGACAATTTAGAGTGTAGAATAATATATTCACAAAATAACGTATGCTGATTTTTGTGATTTTTTTTAGTTTAATACAGTCGCCATTGGAAAATTATTTTTGTCTCGGCAAAAAACGCGCATTAAATCCGTCGTGATTGCAGAGCGATTCGTGACACTGTTACGTTAAAATGTACACTCGTCCGGAACGAATCTAATAATGTATTTTTGATAGTATGCCGTGTTTTGCATTTCGTGAATGTGAAAGATATGGTTATTGTAAAAATATTTTGCGATTTTCTACGAGATTATCGTATTTTACATGTACTCCGGGATTTTATAGTAAAAAATCCCGTACAGTCCACTGTGATTTCGTTGTTATATAGGACTGCGTTTGATGCAGACCTGTATGCTAAACAACCGTTGTGTTTGCGTAATAATGTGCATGCATCGTTTCATTTGAGACGTAAATGGTGTAAATAAATGTATCTTTGTGTACAACGCTGTGTATAAATCGTATGCGATGTTATTTTTTTATTTCAGCAACAGGCGACGTTGCCCTAGAATAATTTTTTTCCGAACAAATGTAAAAATTTACGAAGGCGTGGGGGTCTCTTCTCCGTGCATTCTTGCGACGATGGGGGAAGCAGCAGTGTACTGTTTAATTGAAACCGCGTATTGCTCGTATAAAAAATTATTTGTGTAAGAAAAAACCAGTTCCGACACCCGGTATGCTCATGTGACAGCTTTTTAACTCATTAGAAAATTTTTAGGAGTGTTAGGAATGTTTAGGAAAACAAATTTTTGCATGTAAACTCACATATGTGTGAATAACAACGTAAGCACAGCGATTAAAACAGGAATTATGTGTGAATATCTCTAAAATAAATGTAAAAAGAGAAACACAGCATAATTTTATTCTACTTGTGGTTTATGTCACCAAAACGCATTAAAAAGTTATTTTGTTGAAACCGTACCTCGTAAGTAAAGAGCAGATCCTCCTGCATATTTTGATATAAACAATGCCCATATACCATTATATTACTTTAATAGTCATAGAGCGCCAAATCTTCCCAAATTTCTCTATAGTGGGTCGAGGGATAACATAATCACATATCTGCATGACCGTGCGCTCAGTGACACTGCTAAACGGTTTCTACGTTCACCGAGAAACTTGTTGCTCTCAACCGCTTCCAGTACTAAGTCAAGCACAGGCAGTCGTATTATTTGCGGTAGGTTATTATCTGCTTCAATGCTCGCACGCTTATTCTGCCCGCAACCATTAGTTGCGCATTAGTTCCGATTCCTCATTGGTGCGCGGCGACCGACGTGTCGCCATTGTGATAGACCGTCGGTCTCCCAGCGGTGCGCCGCGTGCGTGCGTTGTTGTGACGGACATTGTTGACGGACATTGTTGTGAGTAAGCGTTAGCACAAAACCATGCATTGGACGGACGTGTGCAAAACGGTTTTCTGCTCGGCCATCGTCGTCACTGACAGACAGCGCAAATCGCCCCTAAAACAACGGAGGACGCATTTTTTCATTAACGGCCGCCTTTGTGCAAATGGGGTTCTCGAATAACACATATATTAATTTAGTAGGTATGCAAGATAAGACACATGCAGCTATACGAAAGTGTCATTTTCCTTCTAGTTGGAAGGATTTATGTCAATAACACAGTTGACGAAAGATTGACGTGGCAACAGTTGGAGGGTGAATTATCGAACGTGCCGTACGGTGGCGAATGGCGCCCGCAAAATTCGTCTGCACACTGCTTGCCGCGCCACGTGGTGGCCATCATTGTTCCATATATGAGCCGCGAACCTCAGCTACTTGTGTTCTTGCGACACATTCATCGCTTTCTACAGCGGCAACAAATTCACTACTGCATCTACGTTGTTGAGCAGGTATGTCTATAACACATTACTTCATATCAGCGGTTGACCAGGTACGCTAATAAACCAGCACTCCATACATCTACGCGGTTGATCGTTGGAACAGCCGCCCCACATACAGCAATAAACATATTGAATATACACGGAGGGTGACACTTAACTGCGTGGCAGTGATTACAACTCGACTTGTGTTGCTTCCTCCATTTTCGTAGGTCAGAGAATTAAGTGTGCCACCAAAACCTTTTGCGAGGTTCCCCACTCCCACCTTGCCCTTATCCAAACCCACAGACCCTGCCTTTCTTTGTCTCCACACAATAATGAGCAAACCAGCATCGCCTCGTTTTCTCGCTGTGCAGGCAAACACTACGAAGGAGTTCAACAAGGGGCGATTGATGAACGCCGGTTTTGAAGAAGCCATGCGACAACACCATTGGTCATGCGTCATCTTCCACGATGTTGATGTGCTACCCGAAGACGACCGCAACATATACCACTGTGACAATCACTATGTCCGGCACATGACGACGGCAGTGGATCGCTACAATTACACGTACGTCCGCCATTACCACCAGCCAGCGTTAGCCTAACACTGAAGAGAGTCGCATGACATTGAAAACGCACCCACACTCACGCGCACACTCGAATACACACACACGCACGCACGCACACACGCATATACACACATACACACATATACACACACACACACACACACACACACACACACACACACACACACACACAACAGCAGCAACAGCAGCAGTAGCAGCAGCAGCAACAACAACAACAACAACAACAACAACAACAACAACAATAACAATGCAAAGGAACGTGTATGAGAGCACTCGCCGACACACGCGCACACACGTCCGCGCACGCATCCGCACTATTTACCGGTGCGCAGACGAAGTCTTCCTCAGTCAAAACATTCAATGTACGTCCCAAGGATTGGCGCAAGTATTTATATTCTTATATTGCTTTTATCATAAACCTAATTATATAAAAACCGCGTAATCACTCGTCATGTAACCGAAACTTGAACCATGAGGCCAACTATCAAGATAAGCGGTAAGAGAACTATTGCTATAATCCTCCGAATCTACTCGATTCTACTATCATTGCGGGGCTATTCACAGAGTCGGCTACGCTGGGCACATGGGCGGAGTGGCCGCGTTCAAACCGGAACAATATCGGAAGGTCAACGGCTATAGCAACTTGTTCTGGCTGTGGGGAGGCGAGGACGACGACATGCGTTTCAGGTGTGCAATTACAACCCTATGAATAATCTACTCAGATGAATCGTAACTTATTCTCATCATAATCATCTTCAAATCATAAGATCATCAATACATATGATCAGGAGTTATCTGTTATTGTTCACTCCTGATATGATTAATCCATTTAGCTGCATGGTGATCAATCTACAATGATAGGTTTATCATTGTAACATCATGCAGAGACAAATGAATTTATGGGGGTGGTATTCGCCGCTCATGCGTATTAAGTCTAAACATTTCGGCCCGTCGCCGTTACCAACACACGCGCGCGCACGCACGCACGCACGCACACACGCATGCACGCATGCACGCACGCACGCACGCACGCACGTATAGTGCGTGCGCGCGTGTGCCGGTACACGTTCGTGCGTGCGCGCGTGCGTGCGTGCGTGCGTGCGTCCGTGTGTGTGCACGTACACGTGCGTGCGTGTGTGCACGTACACGTGCGTGCGTGTGTACGTACACGTGCGTGCATGAGTGTGTGCGTGCGTGTGCACGGCACACACTCACACACGCACGTGTACGTGCACACGCACGCATGCACGCACGTGTACGTGCACACACACGCACGCACGTCTACGTGCACATGCACACGCGCGCACACACGCACGCACGTCTACGTGCACACACACGGACGCACGCACGCACGCACGCACGCACGCACGCATGTGTACGTGTACACGCACGCTCTCACGCATGCACGCACGCACGCACACAAGCACGCACGTTTACATACGCACGCATGCATAATAAATCGGTAATAATCGCTATCGGGTGTTGTCGTGTAGACGCTACATAATCGCTAACTCGAGTTAGGTTAACTCGAGTTAAGCGTCGTCGTGTAGAC